CACCCCTCGGCTCTCACTGCCGTTGCCTTCCCCGCCTCCGCACCCCGCGCTAGCGCCGACACACGCCCCTCCCGCGCCATCGCGCTCGCGCAGTCCCACCTGGCGCGCTGCCTCCCGTTCACCGCGCCGCCCTCGCGCATCCGCGCATTCGCACACTGGGCGACCTTTGCGCACCTGCACGTCGCGATCTTCATCGGCGCGCTGGTGGGCGTCGCGTATGCATCGCAACCGGCCGGGGCGCTCTTGGCCGCCGCGTGTGCCGTGCGCTTTGCAGACGTGTGGGGCGGCTTTTCTGTGGACGAGCAGGCGGAGCTCGGCGCGGATGTGCGGCAGACGCTGTACCGGGTGCTGTTTGCGTCCGGCGGGTCCGGGTGCGGGCTCGCGGACAGGGATAAGTTGAGGAGGGAGGGTGATCGGTTCTTCATCGTGCGTGCGCCGAGGGGAGAGACGAGGGAGGAGGTTTTGGCGGCGGGAGGGGCGGAGTATTCGAGCTCGGAAGAGGAGGACGAGTGAGCTAGAGGCGCTTTTTTTCTTCTGGAATTTTTTTTCTCTCTGCGACACCGAGCACGACTTTTATCCCTGCATACGAACAGACGCTCGCAGATAGACATCGAAATGTAACACACTAGGCACTGTACTGTAGTCAGTAGAGAATAGCGAATCATGTACTTGTTCATTGTTGACAAAAACGGTTCAACCAGAAATCCAAACCGTTGGAGCCCAATGTTGAAAGGCATTCAATAAGTTGCATAGAACATACGAATCACCCCAACTGTTCGGAGAAAAGAAATGAGAAATCAACTGAGGTAGTGGCATGCTGATACAGCGAAATAGATATGTATGTACACAGACAATCTGATGGAAATGTACGTTGCTCCAAGTTTCCAGAGTCCATGCGGGGTATACCTTCGGACATATTTATGTGCGTTTCGCACTGCGTCCATTCGGCGGATACACTCACGCTCAGGGAAGATGCTGCCCGTATACGTCTCCTTGTGCGGGCTCCACCCCGCCGTGCGCGGGCTTTCGGCCTCGGCCTCCACCCCGAGCGCGTTCCCAGGCGCCGTGAACCCGTACGGCGCGAGGCGGATCGCGTCGCCGCCGCCGCTCGGGGCGTTCAGGTCGTACGTGCTCCACCAGTACTCCACCGCGGTTGATCTATGTCGCCGAAATTATTGCCAGCCTGCCTCTCGCTCAGTTTTTCCTGGTAGACACGGATGTCTGCCACGGGGTCGACTCCAAAATTCAAGTCACCGTAAGTATTGCCGGGAGCTCATTTCAGTTGGTCATCTGCCGAGCTCGACTGGCTTGATTCACGGAAACGAAACAAGCAAATATTGCCCGGTATGACCGAGCGTACGTCATGTCCTGGATATACTGTATCATAATCCGTGACGGGCAGAGGGCGGCGGCGTGACAGGCAGCAGGCGGCAGCGGGCTGAACCAGTCAGCGTGACTGATGGATTTAATGTCCGCTGCCGCAATCAAAGGCAGGCTGAAGTAGGGAATGGAAGTAGGAGAGGAAGTAGGGACATTTATGAAAAAGGGACGACATATGCTCCTACTTTACGAATGCTTATGTTTACATAAGAATTCGTTTTTATAATCCTACGGACGCCCTCGCAAGATCGGCACAAAAGACTTGTCTTCATCTAACGTTCTACCGATTTACATCAGGTTAGGGTTAGCCCAATCTAATGAATTTACTTCAAAATTTTGTGGGCTTGTTTGCACCGCCTCAAATTCTTATGTAAATTTGCTGTGCTGAATCCCCCCGCTGCGTTTGCGGCCTCAATTCTTTACCGATTTTGTTGAGAAAAAAAGTGTTTTGAAGCTGAAATGATGGACTATCTTTCAGTATTAAATTTATATATTAATTTGTACGTTCTTAGGCCTAATGAACTGGGTGACGGTTTCTGTTTGGGGCTTACATAATCGCTGTGCCATTTTCCCCCGCTGTGTTTTTGAGCTCAATTTTGAACCAAGAATGTTGAAAGTCAACTTATTTGAAAGCTAGAACCAAGGGCTATCATCTGGTACTAAATTTATATATTACTTTGCAATGTCGTGCACAGAAGCTTATTATGGGGCTGACTAAGCGACTAAAGCCCCGTTGCGATTGCGGCCTCGCGGTTACATACAGGTTCGGTTGCCTGCTGTAAGGCCCCCCCATTTGTCTGCATTTTGAGCTGGATTGGCGCAGTTGGGATTTCAACGGTCAATACAGGTTCGGTTGCCTGCTGTAAGGCCCCCTATTTGTTGCTACTGCATTTTTGAGCTGGATTGGTGCAGTTGGGATTTCAACGGTCAACACCTGTCAATTCTCAACCGATTATGTTGAAAGTAAACTCATTTAAAAGCTAGAAGCAAGGGATATCATCTAAATATCAGATTTATGAATCACTGTCGTGCGCAGAAGCTTTCCGCTTAATTCCGTTGACTAAGCGACTCAACACGTCTATCGGGCCGGGCGGTGCCACACTCGCTAACTACTCGAGGATGGGAAATATGGGGGCGTTGTAGAAACTTGTATATTTCAGTACAAAAATCTATTATTGAAAGATAGTGCTACACTCCGACTTCTCCTGATCACAGCCGCCCGCACAGGGTCGCTTTCGAGTCTTTTGACGCCTCGCCTCCCTGCACCGCCCTTGGTGCCGCGCACGCTCCTTTGTGCGCCGGCCCGTTCTCGATGGCCTCTATGGGTACGGGATTGGCCGTACCCGTACCGCACAGGCGCTTCCCTACTAGTAGCCCAGTACGGGTATGGTACGGCCAAGTACAGCCGTATATACGGCCTGTACACCTATGCGGTCTGTCGGCAGACTGTGCGCGCCGATTGTAGGCATGGTTCGGAATACGAATTTAGCTTGAGCCCGATTTAGCGGTAATGTAGGGTTATGTTATGTTATGTCGCAGGTTTTTATTGGAGTGCACATCCCAATGTCAAGTGAGTAAGTGAAAGAGGACTACTCTCAAATGATGGCCTCGACTACCTCGTTTCCAAAAAATCCAGCTCGCCCCCAGGATGAACAATTGTACAACTGGACATCCGGTTTTGGCCAGGTAGTCCAAGTGTCGGCATTGACATCCATCTTGGCATCTGAATTTCCATTAATTTGATTTCAACACGCGGAACACGTAACAGTGACACCATGTCTTTCTTCTTTAAACAACCCCCCTCGTTGGTCGCTGCCAACGACGCCGGACACGGCGGGACACCTGAAAGTTGAGATGATGGAGTGGTGGGTGGGTTGAAGGGAGCTGAGGGCCATAGTAAATTGGTGCGTACCCACTTTTTGATATCTGCAAAATTTTCCCTCGTCGTCAGCACCCCGCGCTCCCGCTGCCGCGGTATGCATCCCGTTCATAAGGGACAGCAGAAGGGCGGTATGCGAGAACAAGTATGTAATTTACCTTTTTGGAATTGCCAGCTTACAGCACTCGCTCTTTCCCCACGTCAAGATCGTCTCCAAGCCCCTCTCGCAAGACACAACACAGAAATGCCGAGAAGTCAGCGGGCACCAGCGATCACTTCACTCAGGGCATTATCGATCACATCTTTGGGAAGACCACATAAAGGTTGCCGCGGATGGGCCGCGGATGGGCCGTGGTACGACATTGCTCTTCGGCGGAACGGGTACTACCTGATACTTTCAAGCCTGGATATCGTGTTTCTGATTGGCACGCTGCGTTTCCTGCCCAGGCTGAAAAGGGACTTAAGGAGCTCATCAAGGCTGCTCTGGAGGAGGACAGCGACGACGACAATAAGCCAGGTGAGTACACACCTCCACATCTCTACTTATGACTGAGGTGCGCACACTGGCAGTCGATCTCGGCAACGCACCTGGCAATGCTCCCCCAGCCGATGTGCTTCCCCTCGCCTCCATGGACAATTCTTGTGCGGCGGCACGGGGCGTCGCAGAGGCAAGGTGGCAGTGACGCAGGGCGCCGGGCGTCGAAATGGACCCCGCGCGGGGTGGTGCAGAATGGCAGCGGCGGCGGGCAACAAAATCGGGCCCCAGCATGCGGCAGGGCAGTGGTAGTGGTGGTGCGGGGCGTCGCCAGGCGCGGGTGAGCGACCACGGGCGATGCACGGGGCAACGGCGCCGTCGGGCGTCAAAACCGACTCCGCGCATGCTCCCGCGCTGCGCGGGCGGTGGCGCGGCGCAGGGGTCACCGGTGTTGCAACGCGGCAGCGTAGTTGCAGCGCGGCGGCGGCAACAGGCGTCGAAAGCGAGCGTCTACGCTGACGCATTGCCCTGTGAGCATACCCGGGCGGCGTTGCAACGCAGCTGCGGCGACGGGGGAAACGTCGGGCGGTGGTGCGGCACAGGTGTTGCAACGCGGCAGCGCAGTTGCAGCGCGGCGGCGGGAACGGGTGTCGAAAGCGAGGGCCCGTTGCCCCGTGAGCATGCGCCGGCGGCGCGTTGCGCGCCGTTGCAACGCGGCAGCGGCGGCGGGTGACAGCACGGCGGGCGGCGTTGTAAGGCAACTGACCCCACGCACGCTCCCGCAGGCGCGTTGCACAGGCAACGGGCGTCGAAAGCGAGCGCCTGCGGTGCCGCGTTGCTCCCGGGGGCCGCCGCGGGCAGCGTTGCCCCGTGAGCTAGATATTGGACAATCAGAAACTGCACGGGTACATACAATGTGTTACTTTCCCATACGCAGGCCAGAACATTTTAAGCGACAGGCATAAGCATGAGTTTTTTGCCGAGCGAAGCCTGAGCTGCGGCCTTTACCCCAAGTACAAAAAGTGTCCTACTTGGTCTCCTACTTGACATAGGGATGTAGTAGGGATGAAGTAGGAGAACTTTGAACAACACTATTCACGGAAACGAAACAACACGGTAAGTATGACCGACACGCAGCGTCAAACTGTGACGTCGTCCTGAATATATAAAAACACCCGTGATGGTAAAACAGAAAAACTAAGTACTGCGACCTTGTTATGTCCGCAGTATAAAATATTTAAAAAGTTGGTCATCTTTGCATACAGATTCAGGAACGGGGAATCGAACCCCGGGCTACCGCGAACCCGCATCAAACAAGAGAGGGGGCATGAAAGGCGGTAATGTTACCCCTACACCATTCCAAAGATACAACAAGAATTTTGAAGGACAAGTTTGGTGTGTCGCTTTGGTGAACAACGTGGGCTGGGTGTGCCTGGTGCCAGGAGATTTGCACGAACATTGAGACGGTAGTTGACTCCGAGTTAATTTTAAGTTTTGAACGCAAAATGGCACGGTATGAGGCTCTGAGCAACCATTCAGGACTCTGACATGCAATTCACAGCACTTTGAGTGTTTGAGGCTCTGCCTGTTCAACATTTTTCTATTAACAGGGATTGGTACGGGTAATGGAAGGTGAGTATTTAAGTTTGAGCCGGCCCGGTTCGTCGGCTAGGCACACCTCCTTTCTTCGTGGAAAGCTGGCTCACAACTCGTGTATCTGTCGGGGTCGACTCCAGAACAGAATTCAAGTTACCGTATTGCCGGGAGCTCATTTCATTTGATCGTCTGTCGAGCTCGACCCATCAAGTGTCCCCTCCTTAGCTTGATTCACAGAAACGCAGCAACAATTTGAGCAGTTGCCCGGTATGACCGACACGCAGCGTCATGTCCGGAATAATAAAACATAAAACAGAAAAACTAAGTACTACGACCTTGTTATGTCCGCACTATAAAATATTAATATTAAAAATATTGAAGGGAACACTTTTATTCCGGAACGGGGAATCGAACCCCGGGCTGCCGCGCACCCATATCAAAGGGGAGATGACGAAACATGAGAGGCGGTAATGTTACCCTACACCATTCCGGTGACATTTCAGTAATTCTGAAGGACAAGTTTGGTGTGTTGCTTTGGTCAACAACGTAGGCTGGTGCCTTGCACGAGCACTGAAACGGTTTGACTCTGAGTCAATACTAAGTTTTGACTGCAAAATGGCACGGTATATTCAGTACTCAGGCCCGCAGACGACTTGCAATTCACAGCACTTCGAGTGTTTGAGGCTCTACCTGTTCAACATTTTTCTGTCAACATGGGATTGGTACCGGTGAGTATTTCAGTTCGAGCCGGCCCGGTACCGGTTCGTCGACTGGGCATACCCACTTTCTTCCTGTAAGCTGGCGCACAACTCGTGTATTTGTAGTGAGGCGCAATATTTATCCGACCGTAACAAGCCATCTAGTTCAAGTTGAATCTACGCGACCGTCACGGCAGTGGTTGAGAAAATGTATTCATTGGTGGCAGGCACGACGCCCTTCTAAAAGTAAAACAGTCCGTTCAATCATCCTCCGTGTTGAAGATAAAAAAACAAGACGTACCGGCGGGCAGGAGTGCGCCGCGATCGTCTCCACAACCGTAAAGTACAACGCCTGCCCTCCTTAGCTTGATTCACGGAAAGAGAACAAGCAATTGCCCGGTATTATGACCGGACATGTGTACTTCATGTCTTGGATATATCATACTGTAATTTAAAGGTAAAACAGAAGAACTAAGTACTAGTAATTACTGCGACCTTGTTATGTCCGCACTGTAAAATATTGAAAAAGTTGGACAGATATATTCCGGAACGGGGAATCGAACGCCGGGCTGCCGCATACTCATATCGAACGAGAGAGGAGGACATGAAAGGCGGCAGACGTGTGGGGCGGCTTTTGTGTGGACGAGCAGGCGGAGCTCGGCGCGGATGTGCGGCAGACGCTGTACTGGGTGCTGTGCGCGTCCGGCGGGTCCGGGTGCGGGCTCGCGGACAGGGACAAGTTGAGGAGGGAGGGAGATCGGTTCTTCATCGTGCGTGCGCCGAGGGGAGAGACGAGGGAGGAGGTTTTGGCGGCGGGAGGGGCGGAGTATTCGAGCTCAGAAGAGGAGGACGAGTGAGCTAGGGGCGCTTTTTTTCTTCTGGAATTTTTTATTTTCTCTGCAACACCGAACACGACTTTTATCCCTGCATGCATACGAACAGACTCCCGCAGATAGACATCGAAATGTAACACATTGGGTACTGTACTGTAGTCTGTAGAGAATAGCGAATCATGTTGTACTTGTTCGTTGTTGACAAAAACGGTTCAACAATTGAACCAGAAATCCAAACCGTTGGAGCCCAATGTCGAAAGGCGTTCAATAAGTTGCATAGAACATCTGAATCAGACCAACTGTTCGGAGGAAAGAAATGAGAAATCAACTAAGTTAGTGGCATGCTGATACAGCGAAATAGATATGTATGTACACAGACAATCAGATTGAAATGTACGTTACTCCAAGTTTCCAGAGTCCATGCGGGGTATACCACATATATATGTGCGTTTCGCACTGCGCGCACTCTCGGCGGATACACTCACGCTCGCGCGGCCACCTCAGGGAAGATGCTGCCCGTACGTCTCCTTGTGCGGGCTCCACCCCGCCGTGCGCGGGCTCTCGGCGTCGGCCTCCACGCCGAGCGCGTTCCCGGGCGCCGTGAACCCGTACGGCGCGAGGCGGATCGCGTCGCCGCCGCTTGGGGCGTTCAGGTCGTACGTGCTCGGAGAGAGGAGCTTTGACGACGCCGGCGCCGGCGCCGGCGCGAGGCCGAACGCGGTGCGCGCGTCGCGGCTGCGGGGCTGGTCGCGGTCGCGGTGCGCCGCCGTGCCGACGAAGAAGCGCAGCGAGCCGAAGATCTCGCGCACAAAGTCCATGAAGTTTATCCTGCGCGCGCAGCGACGTCAGCGGCCAGCAGCGTGGGGCGGGCAAAAGTACGTGCGAGTCCCACAGCGGGCGCCATATGCTCGTCGGCGCGTGCGGCTTCCCTGGCGTCTTGTACTCGCTTACGTTGTACGACCATCCCATTGCGATCGCGAAGAAGACCATCTGGCACCGTGTCAGGTGTGCTGCAAGCAATAGCCAACTGGCCGGCGCACCTCGATGCAGATCGTGAGCGCGTTCAGCCCGTCAGCTATATTCGTTTCCGTCCAGTACTGCGACGCTACATGTGGTGTTATTGGTTCACGACGTACCTGAAGGCTACACTGGGCACGCACCTTTGATCACGCGCCCCTCGAGCATGCTGAACTAGCAACGGAGTGGGTGATCGGTGTGCTGACGCACAGTAGCAGACGCACGACAAAGGTTTGGTAGAATGTGAACATGACAATGAGCTTGATGCACAGGAACTTGGCGAGCGGCCGGCGGCCCGCCAGCTCTTCCTTCGTGAGCCCGTAAAACAGAAGCAGACCGTACAGCGCAACGCTGAAAATAATAAAATGAGGAGGCGACCAGGGGAAAGAGAGTCGAATGTACGTGATGCTGACAAAGTCGATTGCGGAAAGGTAGACGCTGGCGAAATGCGGGTTGTGTCCTTCGCTCTCGCAGAGGACACCGAGAATTTCGCAGATGATGCCCGCGACAGAGACCGCTGCAACAGAATTAGTCGGTCGCGTGACCGTTGGACGAGGAACCTGCAAACCTGGTCGGACGATGACATATTGCAGCACGGACCACTGTTCAACATCAACATCAGCCCGGCAGTCGCGGCCCGAGCGCAGCTTACTTTTACGGTGTACATGAAATACGGCTGCGGTCGACTTGAGCACAAAAATGGGAATTGGCGTAGCAACGCTTGGATGGCAACACACCTTTGTCGGGCGGTACCGCCACATGCAGAACGGAAACGGCAACGGCCGTTTGTCTTTCCGCGCCATGGCGCTCTCGGCGCTGTGCCCGGCGGACGTGTCGGCCACGAATTCAATTATCAGCAACCTGGGGTAGCGTTAGATGGAGCACGGTGTCGGCGCGTCCGTCACGCACAGGAAAGCGGAGATGGTCACTGCCTCGTAGGCTGGCCGTAGCCGGTGAGCAGGCAGACGGCGCTGTGGCAGGGAGGGGGCGTACCGACGTAGACGAGGGAGTAGTATGTGTAGCTCCGGAAGTATCGGTAGGAGAAGAAGGAGATGACGGCGTAGACGGCGGGCATGTATAATATCCGGATCCTTTCGTGGGGTCAGGGAGGGGGGCGGAGTTAAACGCATACATACACCTGTCGCTGCTCCCTCGGCACCGTGTAGTGCCTGTGCGGGGTACGTTGGACGTTGAGCGGCATCGTCGCGCAAACACGCACCGGCAATGCTGCCACACAGTAAAGCATGTTATGAGCACCGTCTATGCGGCGGCATCAGTCTCCGAGCAAAGAAAAGCAAAAGTAGACGCACTATAGCAGAACATCCGCCCGCTATCGCCCATCCTATCCTGAGGCCCGACTGAGCATCGTAACCCGGCGTGTGAAGTGCATGCTGCGTACGCACCGGTGCTGGTCCCAGTTGATGCCATTTGTGGAGTCCCAAAACTCGGACTGGTCGACGGTGACTGTGTTGTCGCTTGGGCAGCTCATCGTGGACGACCTCGGCCAGCGGAGGCGGATGTAGAAGAGGGAAAGTGTTTTGCAGGTCACAGCGGGTGATCGTTGTCACGCCGTGATCGTGATCCCCGTTTGCACGTGAGGCCTTGAACAAATATTCCAAAAATTTAATAAGTACAACTCCGACGCTAGATGGCTGGAAATTATGCTCAAAACTTCGGACAAAACTGGTCCTTTGAGGGGGGATGCCATCAAGAAGGCCTGCAAATTTGGCAATAACACATGACCTACTACCTTCACCTGTCGCGAAATTCTCGCTGTTGATCCTGATGTGATGCCCCACCGCACTCCACCAGTACTCCACCGCGGTTGATCTATGTCGCTGATGACGGCTCAACAATTCAGCTAATATGTGCGGCTTCTTCCTGGTGGTCCGAACCATGCCGAAATTAAGTATTGCCAGCTGTCTCTAGCTCAGTTTTTCCTGGTAGACACGGATGTCTGCCACGGGGTCGACTCCGGAATTCAAGTTACCGTATTGCCGGGGGAGCTCAATTCAGTTGGTCATCTGTCGAGCTCGACTGGCTTGATTCACGGAAACGAAACAAGCAATTGCCCGGTATGACCGACATGCGTCATGTCCTGGATATAGAACACCCCCGTGGTGGTAAAACAGAAAAACTAAGTACTGCGATTGTTATGTGTTATGTCCGCACTATAAAATATTAAAATGTGGTGGAAGTAGGCACATTCCGGAACGGGGA